CCCGCCCCACCCACCCCGCCGCCTCCCATTGGCTGCCCGGCCTGTCCGACAAAGCCACACGACGTGCCGCCGGCGCGGCATGGTCCCGCCCCTCTCGGGAGGGGAGTTCCCCGCCCCGCCTCGCCTTGCTGCTCAGAAGCCCCGCCTCCGCCCCGCCCGTCACTCAACAGCTGGCGGCCAATCGCGACCGAGCCGGTGGGCGGCCCCTAGCGCTCTTCACGGCGACGATTGGCTTAGGGAGAGCCCGCAGTGCTACGCGCCGCCGCCAGGGGACGCACGCGGCCCGGTACCGGCGGGGCAGGGCCGGTGTCGGCAGCGGCAGAGCGGGCCGGGCCGGGGGTGCCTTCTTGAGGCCGGCGGCAGCCGCATCCGCGGCTTCTTCATAGCAGCCGGAGGGTCCGCACCGCCCACTCGTCGCTGGACGAGCGGTGTCCCCGCCTCCAAGCGGGCCCGCCCGCGGCAGAACCGGGCAAAGCTGCGGAATTGAGCGGAGGGAGGTGTCAGCGCACGGAGCGGTACCGGGTTTGGAAGCGGTTTATTTTGCAGACGGCAGGCGTGACGCCTGGGCCCGCTCCCTCGCGGGCGGCATCTCCAGCCCCGGCAGGCAGCACCGCCGGGGGCTGCTCCCGGGCCGCACCGTGTTCCTCCGGAGGGCACAAGTCCCGGCGCTGCGTCCCCGGAGACGGCCGTACCACACCGGGTACTCGCCTCGGGCGTGACCGCAGGGCGCTGTGCGGCTCAGCGGGGCTGGGGTCGGGGCCGGGCGGTACGGGGTGCCGCTTCCCTGCCCCTTCCTCCGGGAAACTGGTGGCACCTTCCCGCCCAGCAACACTAATCTCATCAGGCAAAAAAAGTGCGAAATCTTGGAAAGGGCAATAGCCTCGGAGGTGCGGCGGCGTTTCTGCTGCTTGCTTCTTCCCAGCAGAGCGCAGGCAGCCATTGCCATATGTTGTACTCACTCATTGCCATATGTTGTACTTTGGGTGTCATACTCACACGCCCTGCCAGTTCTGCTCAGCATGGGCCCGCTGTGCGGCCCACCTTTGGGAGAAACCTGTGGAGAACGCATCCTGCCAGCACTGACCCCCACCCGGGGGCAGGGGCCACCCTCTTGCCCACCTCGACTTCGAGAAGGGGACGCGTTTTAGGCATGCAGCTGGGAAACCCCTGTGGTGCCCCTGAAGGTGACATCCACAGGGAAGCGTGGGTGACCTTCACAGGGAGCCGGTGGCTTTAGAGGATGTAACCTGCAGTTTGCAAACCTGCAAGTGATCGCAGATGTGCACCTGGACAGCTGGGAAACATTTCCCCTCCTTCTCCAGTCCCTGAACCCCGGGACTTTGGCATCTCTGAGCACCAGTTAAGCTGGTATAAAGGCAGGTGGAAGAAACGCAACACAATGGACAAGAGAACGTGCTATCCCAAACGCAGCCCTCACCACAATCCCAGCTCCAACAAAGGCACATGACAAATGACTCGCCCTGAGCATCCTTATCTCCTGCCTGTGCCCATTCCAGCGTGCCTGCCTCATGCCCCTCTCACCAGCACAGCCACCAAGGGAGGAGATAGCCTAAGGACAGCATAATCTTTCTGCCTCTAGTAGAAAACCAATGGAGAGGGAGTGGGGAGAAAGCAGGGAGCATGGGCAACCTCCCCAAGGGATTCTCCTCCACCTGTCTCTCCACTCCCCTCCTGAATGGGCGCTGGTAGCCAGCACCCTCTGCCCATATCCGTACTGTCAGCCCGACACCAGCCCCTGACCCCCGGCCTGAGCTCCCCCCGCCAAGGCAGCCCCAAGCACCCTCCTGGCCCTGCCGTGCCCCAGTGTGCATCCTCCTCACACCTCCCAGCTCTCAGCTGCCAAGAGCTCCCTGCTTATCCAAGTGCTGGGAGCTCACTGGGCAAGCTGCACACACAGTACAGCCCCCCAGTTTGGGTTTCCCCCTTGTGAGGGTGCCCACTTTTCCTCTTTGCACATGCTGGTGGGCTTCTCTTTATGTTGGGCACCTGTAGGAATAATAGTGATGGATCTATATACATCTATCTGGAAACCTAACCTCACAAGTGCAGAAGCAGGTTGTAGCAGCAGGGCAGAAGGTGGGGTAAAGCTTCCAGACTTGGCCTTCTGGCTGCATAAGTCTTGCTGTTGGGTTATTAGAAAAGCTGTGGATCCAACTTGATGTTCTTTCTCTGGCTCATTACATTTTCACCCCTGAATTTGCTACACAGCGTTTTGGGGGAGCAGATGTGCCTCTGATGTTTTGGGGGCCTAGGGACTGTGTTATACACTGGGTAGGTACATCTTAAAATGACCAGCCCTTTGCCTCCCCTGCTGCATGCATGGCTGGGTTCTCTGTTCCTCAGTCCAGCAGTAGATGGATCTGAAGAAAGCCTGTTGCACGTTTCTTAAGGGCTTCAAGGTGAGGCCCTACCCCAGAAGGGAGGGAGACCTCAGTCTGTTCTCACAAGTCTGCACCAACAGCGTGCAGTAGTCTGTCAGTCACAGATCTCTGTGAGGGTCAATGCAAGCTTAGAGCTCCTGAAACATCCTTCCCCTTTCTGACAGTGGAAGCAGGCTCTTCATATTAAGAACGTTTCAAACAGGTCCATGCATAGCCCACAGAAACATGGGAATTTAATTTATGCAATTGCTTTGGAGCTTGAAAATCCACTGTTGCAATCAGGAAAGTTACAGCTTTGATTAAAATTCCTAAAGGCAAGACTCATATTGTTTCTTACCCTCGTTATGTAAGCACAAAGGAGATTGGGTGCATAAAAGAATGATGAGTGAGAGTTCAAAGCAACCCCAGAAAGCTGGCCTTAGAGGCTGTTTTCTGATGCGATTCCAGCTCTTTACCATTCTTCTTTGTTGAGTGAGTGCCAACACAGCAAACATGATTTAGCAAGGCAAAGCCCCTTTCTTTCAATAAACATTAGCCAATATGTCTTAGAAGTCAGCTTGTCCAATCCTAAAGAAATGCAGTAATTAAATAAACACTTTGAATTGGGTCTGAAACAGACCTTTCCTCTGTTATCAAGGCAAGGGGCCTGGTAAGGGAAACGTCTCCTCACCTCTGACTTTTGTCACATTCTTGAACTGTTTGACACCAAGAAGCATTATTACTTTCAAAGCAGTTTTTTCAAGTGCTGAACAACCAGGTTGGGCGTGGGGAGGGGGCGCAAAAAAGAACAGAGAGCCCTTCTCTTTCATAGATGAGCTGTCTTGTATCATTTACCTGACAATCTGGTATCTCTGTACATCCATAGTGATACTCATTATTAGCAGATTGAGAAATACCTCTCATCATCACTGATTTTAGCAGAAACGATGTTTCACATCTACATCACAGATATTTAAAGTGCTTTTCAAGCAGGAATTGAAGTTTGGATTATCACCCTGAGATGTGTCATTTTATCTATACAGATGCATTATCGTGCCAACACTGTTACAACATGCAGAAGATGATGCTTTTCCTCTTTTTTAGAAGGCAAAAAATGGAGGAGGAAGGCAAAAGAGAGAGATCAAATACTAGAGAGAACAAAAGAACAGTTAAGGTTCTGTTAAGTTATAGAATCAGAATGGTTTGGGTTGGAAGGAACCTTAAAGATCATCTAGTTCCAACCCTCCTGCTGTGGGCAGGGACACCTCCCACTACACCAGTTAGCTCAAAGCCCCATCCAACCTAGTCTTGAACACTTTTAGGGATGGGGGTGCAGGATTCACAACTTCTCTGGGCAACCTGTTCCAGTGTCTCACCACCTCACACTGAAGAATTTCTTCCTGAAGATCTAACCAAAATCTGCTCTCTCTCAGTTTAAAACCATTACTCCTTGTTCTATCTCTACACTCCCTGGTAAAGAATCCCTCCCCATCTCTCCTGCAGGCCCCCTTAGGCACTGAAGGGCCGCTATAAGGTCTGCCCAGAGCCTTCTCTTCTCCAGGCTGAACCACCCCAACTCTCTCAGCCTGTCTTCATAGGAGAGGTGTTTCAGCCATCTGATCACCTTCGTGGCCTTCCTCTGGACCTGTTCCAACAGATCCATCCAACCTAGTCTTGAACACTTTTAGGGATGGGGGTGCAGGATTCACAACTTCTCTGGGCAACCTGTTCCAGTGTCTCACCACCTCACACTGAAGAATTTCTTCCTGAAGATCTAACCAAAATCTGCTCTCTCTCAGTTTAAAACCATTACTCCTTGTTCTATCTCTACACTCCCTGGTAAAGAATCCCTCCCCATCTCTCCTGCAGGCCCCCTTAGGCACTGAAGGGCCGCTATAAGGTCTGCCCAGAGCCTTCTCTTCTCCAGGCTGAACCACCCCAACTCTCTCAGCCTGTCTTCATAGGAGAGGTGTTTCAGCCATCTGATCACCTTCGTGGCCTTCCTCTGGACCTGTTCCAACAGATCTATGTCCTTCTTATGTTGGGGGCCCCAAAGCTGGATGCAGTACTCCAGATGGGGTCTCACCACAGCGGAGTAGAGGGGTAGAATCACCTCCCTCAATCTGCTGGCCATGCTTCCTTTGATGCAACCCAGGATGTGATTGGCTTTCTGGGCTGCCAGTGCACATTGCTGGGTCGTGTTGAGTTTTGCAACCACCAACACCCCTAAATCCTCCTTCTCTGGGCTGCTCTCAATCCATTCTCCACCCATCCTGTATTTGTGCTTCAGATAGCCCCAACCCAGGTGCAGGACCTTGCACTTGGCCATGTTGAACTTCACATAGGCCCACCTCTGTCCAGGTCTCTCTGGATGGCATCTCTTCTCTCCAGCGTGTCGACTGCACCACACAGCTTGGTGTCGTTGGCAAGCTTGCTGAAGGTGCACTAAATCCCACTGTCCATGTTGCCGACAAAGACTTTAAACAACACAGCAGATGGGAGAAGTCCAAGTGACTTTCAATAGGGTGATTAGAGATACCAGGACATCCAGAAGGATGACCAGATGGAGTTCAGCAGAAAAAAATCCAAAGCCAAGATTTTTTTTTGAAAAGTCAAAAAATTATAGATATCTGTGAGACACCAAGATAGAAACAATGTCCTGATTTCTAAATTGTTTTCTATAGGAAGTATGTAAATACT